ACGGATATTGTCTTATCATGTAAGCATACATAAGAAATATTTTTATTCAGTCAAAAGTAAGAAAAACGGCATTTTAAAAACAATGAATAATAGTAAACAGGATTTTGATGAATGAAATGATAAGTATATATATATTGAAATAATGTGTTTAAAACTTGTTAAGACTGAAAACTATCTAAATTAAGTCATCAAATATCTCTCAGGATGTGATGTGAACAAATTCAACAGATAAGATTTGCTAAATGTCTACATTTTAATGAAGGAATATCACGTAAACACAAGCCAGATTACTTTATTTGTTCAGTTGTTATAAATACAATTTTACACATTAAGAAAATTACATTATCGAAAAGAAAATTTTTTTCATTACATTGTATTTGATAAATGATAAAGTTATGAAACATGTTCCGTTAAACGAGCGTGACTATTATCTTTGATAAACCGGTAGTTCATACTAATAAGAACTAAAAATAACTCATTATCTTCCTGTTATTAAAAACACAATATCAAACCTAAAAAAAGGTTTAGGTTTGAGAGGAGATCTCCGGAGTTCTAGTGAGAACCAGTGACCAGTGGAGTACAATCTGTGTCGAGTGTGAGGTAGTTACCTAACGAAGACGATGCTAGATGATTACACAATGTTGTGGAATGAGTGAGTACAGACATTAACACCGGTGAGTTCCAGCTCAGTAGTCCAGGGTTTAAGAGTCCGAATACAAGACCAAAGTTGTTTTGCTTGATTTTCAGTTGAGGGACCGTGGATATGCACTTATAAAAGTCCCGTGCTAGAACGGAACGACTGTGTGTTGCTCCCAGATTTTTGATAGTTGTCTCGCTTAGATCGGTTCATGATTTAAATAACATTCAGCAACTTCCACAACCCCATTCCAAAAGATTGATTATTACTGATTTGTAATACCTTATTTCCCTTTGTTTAAAATTTATTTATTCTAAAGTGTAGAAATTACATGAGAATGTAGTTATATTATTATATTAAGTAAAGTCATTTCCTTCTATTGACCTCACTAAGTGATTATTGCGGAATTCTTATCGCTATACAAACCAATATGGAATCTGTCTGATATGCAACACAATAATCTATTAACAAGAATCTGTGATTTCCTCCTGAACTTTTACGATGTTTATCTGACATAAAATGTATATGAATAATAAAGATTGACAAGAGGTTGCAAAACTAATTGAATACTACCGAAATAGTTATTTACTGGAATAAATAGTAGGTTTCAGTTTGCAAAACGACTAGCTCATCAGTACCTCTTAATAAATTGTTGAAATACTAAACTAATAAACAAAATTCACGTATAATAATTCAAGTATAATCTTCCATGTCAAAGACAGGAAAATTCAAATCGTTATATAATTCAACAGACAACAACATGAATTCTAAAAAGACTATCTCCTAGACAGTATTCGGTAATACGTTAGAAACTGCAAGTAATGAGTACATAAGATAACTGGTTGTTTCAAAATCATAGCATTATCATACTCTGAGTTTACCATACACTTTACTATGTTATGAAGCCTTTGCTAAAATCACTACCTACTTATAAGTAGTAAAACATAATTCGTAAAATAATACAACAGTTAGGCTTTGAATTTGCTAAAATGACATCAGTCATAGATGTTTACCACTGAGAAGCGTCATACTAAAAATGAAGCAGCCGTCCAATGCCTCATAAACATTAGTGGTCATATATCTGGGGTGATTTCCAAATAGAGTGCACTAATTACACCATTTTGTGTCTATGTAGGCTACAGTATTGTAGTTTAGTTATCTGATTACAATGGAATTATGAGATCATTAAGTGGTTGAATCAGTGAAGGAATTTGACTATTATAATCTTAAAATAAAATGAAAGTCTACTAAGGATTAATGTTAATATTTTGCCAAATAATATTCAGTTTTGTAATTCTTCAAATGTCTTCACTTAAACTAATAACATGCATCTGAGATTAGGGTCTAACAGCCTTACTTTTGGCATGACGGACTTGGCAATTCTATCAGTTTAATGTCCAGAACTGTCTTGAGAAAACATGACTGCGTCAAAAAATCAATTAAAAAGCACTGTATTAAAAAATTAGTGACTGTTCAAATAGAAGATAAGAATTTCTTTAAATTTCACTGAGATGAGTATAAACGTTCGTCAAAAATGCCACGGTACGGCCGAAAGTGGGGAAAGTCAGCTCTTCCACTCGAAATGCTCTCACATGGCCACGCGTGTACAGCCACTGCCAGGGGAAGTCCTACTCACTGGCTTCTCGCGAGGAGAGGTGTTGTTTACGAAATTGAGAGGACCAAAAGCGAATGTTCGGAGATTTAACCGGGTTGGTGGATATGGAGGATCCTCCTAAGTGGGTTGGAAAGCCCTGATCCCAAACCCATGGTGCACATGGGCTGCAGGATCCTGGAGGAACAGATGGTGTATGAATCAATTATCGATCACTGGCTACCATGGGACTACATCACCTTACGTTGCTCTACTGCCTTTCGCACTAGACCTGTAGGTCGAAGGCTCCGTGTGTGTCTCTCTTAGAAAACCACCTGCCTCAGTTTGGGAACCCCGAGCAGTACCACAGCTCAGATACAAACCAAGTGACGTGTGTGGTGCATAGTTATTCGGTACCTCTTTGTACCAATATTTATGTGTTTAAGTAAATAAATAAATATGTATTCCATCACCTTAAAAATCATATTTAGAAAAATGGTGATTAGGTAAATTTATTTTTGTAACTTCGATATCAACCAAATTGATAAGCAAATTCCTTCTAATTATTTCCTTATTAAAATGAATGAGAACGTTTCAGTGAAACAAACCTACTTTAAGAGTTGAGATCATGAGACAAGTAAAGCTAAACCTCCATGGAAAACCTAGAAGCACCGGACGGCCGTTTCGTCCTGTGGTGGTCTAGTGGTTAAACACTAGCACGCGAGACTGATAGGCCCAGGGTTCGAATCTCGTGGGGCGGGGTCTTGGACGCGCATTACTGAGGAGTCCCATAATAGGTTTTCCATGGTGGTTTAGCTTCAAGTGATTCATAATCCCCATTATTGAGATTACTACAATCTCTACAAAACCCCTTCTGATATCTAAACCTATTTTATTCAATATTTGAATACTTTGATTTAGTTAAAATAACACACTTCTAATTATAAATTATTATTTGCAATGCTTGAAATATTTGATAATCTTGACTAGATTATGCAACATCATTACATCTAATTGATTAATGTAGTGTATAATCTCATTCATTCATAATCATACAATGGTAAAAATTAAGCTACGCTTTACTAGGTTGTGATTACAGTTCAGTCCTTTGTGAATATCAATCGATTAGTGATTATTGTTCATCTATGAAAATATAGAGATATGCAACCAAGATGTAAAGTAAATAATGATCTGAGTAACGTTTGAGAATATTGTAAATTTTTATCTTCATTTGAACTGTCCAATGTTTTCTTCACATTGTTATGATTACTTATTGGATAGGAATTGTGAATACTGATGTTTACGTCAATTATATTGTCAAGATTGCTTTTATGTAACTTGATCATGCAACCATTTATCTGAATATTGATCAGTCAACGATCTACATTGAGGTTTAATGAAATATTATTTCATTGATCATAAATGAACTTGATTGATTCGAATATTAGTCCCTAGCTTATTTTGTAAATAACTAAACGGAGAGATACTAATTTTCGCGCAGGTAGATTAATGATGTGACAGGTAAAGATATTACAATCTTTAACTTAGTCAATTACTAATCTAAGCAATAGTAATATTCCTTTTTTTATTCAAAGTGCTGTAAACTGATTTCTATGAAGAAAGGAAAATAACAAAAGTCGTTGCCTTTAAAGCTGTCTAAATTGTTTACAAAGTACTTATCTTAATCATGAGGGTTAGATTTAGATTTACATGATTATCTACTCATTGAGATAACAGAACATATATTTGCTATTAACTTCCTACTCAATGCTAAATTAATTTGAAACTATCAAGTCCAACCTTGACATTGATACCTATAAACTAATCAATATGTTTTAAGAATACTTATACATCTGTCAAGACGATATGTTCGATAAAACAGTAAAATATCACAATATTATCGCTAATAGTACTTACCAAGCTTAATGTGTTCAACAAGGTATGTACACTAGAAAAAGAGCAACATAGGTACATATTTACATTCTTCAGCCTGTTAAAAAGAAATCCAGAGTTTACGGTTCAAATGTTCTTACCGGGGAAATTATGTAACATCTAATTATTTGTAGTCATATTTCTGACATTTGAAATAAATATTTAGTTAGTTAATGAATCAACAAATTAATTCATCAACTGAGTACTGTAGTTCCTACATCCTTAGAGAGTCATAGTTGATGTTAAGCTAAGCAATTGGATATAGCACACCAGTTTCATTCTCATGGATCAAAGTAGAAAAGTATATTAACTTCTCAGTCGTTAAAAGAAATGCGAAATAATACTGACATTATTATGTTTAGACCTGATTAATGATCAGGTGTCGTTATCATGAATATATCCGATTACAAAAATAAAATGGAATCCATTTTCAGTGCTGAAAACAAATTTATGGCTGACGTTGACTCTGATGGATTACGTAAAGTAGGAAGTGAATTCGAATCTAATGAAGTTGTGTAATCAATCTTGCCATTTCTCAGGTTACATATAACTGGACCTAGTCTTTCTGTTTTTGAGAACAATTATTATTGATATTGCATGACATCTTCAATGTTAGTTAGTTAATTAGTAAATATCTCAATCCCAAGTAAGGTTAGTTAAAACTTTAACAACTTAGCAGTATTTTCATTAATTAACAATGGATGACGCGGATTCGAACGTCTCAGTGCGACTCATCTACTAATAAGTTTAGAATTACAGCTTAAGAATGATCTTTTTCAACCAACTGTGCAATAATACGTGGTATTTTTTTGATTCAATAGAACTTTGTAAGCAAATGATGACAAATTTCAAAGTATAATAATTAATGTTATCTTGCTCTACTCAAATTGGAAAAAAACAATAGTCGCTTTATTCTACATAATTAACATTTTTTTAAAAAGTACAAAGTGGTAATAAGTGGTACAAAAAAACAAGAAATCAACATAATTATTGACAAGTCGGAAACATAATTAAAATAAAAACTGGAATATTCCAGTTTGCATTACGTTTTTAGTTGTATAAAATAGGAAAGGTATAAGATAAGTCAAGAGAACAAAAATTACATTTCATCAAGATACAACTGGAACAATCTCTGTCAGTTTACAAATCAACGCTTGTGTTTAAAATACATCTGTAATATCGGATACAAAAATAAAAGATGGAAGATTTATGAAAAAAAGTAGAGTATAAAGAAGAAACTAGACAAAAGTATACAGTATAGATGAATGATTATTCTCTGTGGGAATAAGAATAAAAATAATACTCGGAGTAAGCAGTGGTTTTATTTAAGATTTTATCTAAAATACAAAATGAAAAAATGAAATCTGAATTCGAGGTTACAACAATTTGATATTTTAAATAATGCTCATGAGTAGTTGAAAGTGCTGTTCACTTATAGTTTATGTAGAAGCGTATATTTAATCCAAGTTATTACGAATTGGCTTCATTCGCGTCTATTGACTAGTTTAAGCTGATAAAAAGTATCCGAAAAAAAGAGAATATAAATCACTTTAACGATTTCATCACTTTTAACTCTTTTTTAAGAGAATGATATTCATTTTGCTTTATCAAAAGTAATTTTATATTCACAATTAAAAGAAAAGGGCACTACATACTAATCTATAAATCATAACTGTTATCAATAAAATCAGTTTGATGACTATTCATAATGTAGTGGCTTAACCTCGAGATAATTCGTTTAGCTTCGCTTATCTATCACCCTGATAACCGTTACTAAGTTAATACCAACGGGGCATGAATTCAGAAGACAATACGAAGCGGCGATTTCAGTTTATTATTGGATCAGATCAACTCCGTCTACTCATTGTTCTATCGAAATTTATAAAAGGGACTAATTGCTTTAAATTATATTATTGGATAGCACAGATCACAATTACAAGCACATCGAGTGGCTTTGGAGCAGACAGGCTAATGTGTGTAATCAAGCAAACACAGAGACAGATTTACAGTCAAGTGGAATTAAGGTGCGGCGAGACAAAGCAAATGCTATTAATAAGATTCGAAAACATATTCATACGGGAAAGCGAATGATTCATCGAGCGATATTTAAGCAAACAACCTTTAAGGTAGAGAGAGGGATATGTGGGTAGGCTGTCTCATGTGATCAAGCATACATGTTTGTACAGACATGATAGTGATAATAATAATAATACAAAGAAGCAAATAAATTGTTACTGTTCGAATAACACTGTCTGTTAAATAAGTTAATTAAAGGGTTCGACGAAATTAAGCGTAAACAAACTTAATTCTAGGGAGGGTTGCTATAATAGTTTATTATTACACGATCATGTGCATTTTGAATTTCCGTGTTCTCGTTCTCAATCATCTTTTTTGTTATCGTTTTTATTTTTCACCACAAGGGACAATAACATACAATACAAATCAATATACAAGTCTTTGATTCATTCTTCTTATTATTATTTTCTTCTTACAACGTCGAAACATACAGATATAATGTTATGAGTTTTTCATGTCTCATGCATGGTAACTTTGCTTGGCGTAAAAATTATTTCATTAGAAGTTGCATTATTAAATGTTTAAAGCAGTAGTATCACAGATAACATGAAAGTACTATCAGTGGGAAGAAACTTTTAATAAGAAAGATAAAAAAAGTTTAAAGTAAATAGAACCAGTTCACACAGATGCATGAAAATTACCCTAACTGAATGAATAAAAGAGTTCGCATACGCTACTGTTATTGATGATATCTGACTATATTATCAATACCAACTTCAATAAAAAGTGATTTATTAGAATTTCACCACAACTGACTAGCAGCGTGTTCTGTACAGGACTAAGTGGCCGTTCGTTCTGCTTAAGTATAAGTTAATGCTAATAAGCTGTTAAATGCATCAACATAACTTCGTCAATATCAGTTCGTTTGAACAACTATGACATCGATTTGACTTGGGAAATGTAAGAATATAAGGCAGAGGAAACACACAAAAAAGCAAGAGGATTTTTAGAAGCTTGGGACTTTGATTACGCGCTTACCATTACACATATTAAAAAGACTCGATCCACCAAATAACAAGATGAAGGGAAAACAACGACAACGTTATAGGTAGAAACAACGGAAACATACATCTAAACAACAGTCACACAGTTATGAATAACAAGAAACCAAATCCTAGGTTAAGACATAGCAGCCAATCGATTGCGGAGAGGTTTTATTCAGCCACTTATAACTAAATTATGTACTGATGATGTTGTCAAGACAGTTTCGAGATTAAACTATTTGGCGTCAGTATATATATGCTAAATAATGTTGGCGGTTGAGGCAGAACAGTAATTTTTGTAATTTATATCCTTTCTTATCTGGTAGGTTGTTCAAAACTCAATGTTACAAAGCATATTTTGATATCCGAATTTTATGCTTTAACAGTCATTTCATATGTTATAAATATTCATATAAAGATGGTGACCAAAATTTAATCGAGTTAAAACGTCAACATGTGTACACTAAATAACAATTCAGGTATTTTAAAGGATTTAATTGGCGTATTGTTGCTTAAATTTTGTTCCACACACTGTTTACTTAAAATAATCGTAATTCTGTGGTGAATTAAAAGAAATATTTCTTTCTCTATAATAAATTTCATTAAAATTCCACAACAATAAATGATGAAATTAAAACATCAATAAAAATTTTTAGTTGCCAAGGGAATGATTCATTGACAAAAAGAAATGATAACAATTCACTTACAGCACAGATACCTGTTTGCAAGCATTTTACATGCACAAACATCCGCTAAACGATTGGCTATATAAATAAAATAAGAATAACCGTTAATAAAAAATAATATCATCGAACATTTATCATCTGAATAAATTAATTATCTGGTTTTTGGTGCATCTAGTCGATACCGATCACCACATAGATAAAATTTCAGCGTTTCAAATTATTTATAAAATCTCGCCGAAATAACCTTATGGTTCTAGGATTCGACTTTTACGTATAGCAGAAGCCATAAGAATACACATCTAGAAACCCAACCTTTATATACAGAAAAAGTTTATACAACCATTGAATCTACCCTAGTTTTCTACCTAAATACCATTGCATGTTTCAAAACCTTTCTTTCTATTCTAGTAAAATTTTTTGAACATCGATTACGTTAACACTTAAATTCCTAGTTCTAATCTTACGTAATCTGATGATTAATCATATTATATAATTTTCACTGTACCCGTTCAACTGATTTCTTATCATTAATTCCACAGATAACAAAACATCCATATTTACATACAATTTTAATTATGTAACTGTTAGTGATAATTAATTGACCATGAGAATTCACTTTAGTCCTAATCTTAATTTCGATCTTCCAGACGTTATGTAACTAAGTGATTACTATTTCTTTAAACTGACAACCATCCAACTGGTATCGTCTCTACTCAGTTATAAAACATTTATGCTAGTATGGAACCTTGATGAAGAACTAAATGAAATGAATTATTTCATCGTTCAACTTGTCACTCTAATAACAAATAAGTTTGCAAAATAAAATGAATTCATTCTATTTCACGACGTCCCATCAGCTGCAAACAGCTTAAAATTACACGTATTAATGTGATTATAAACAAATTTTCAATGTACTTAAGTTAATGAAGTTCAGACGAGTATAAGAAAGGAATCATGACAAACGTAATAACACGAGTAATGATAAACAAAATGTACAAATATAAAATAGTTGAGACTGTTTGGTATTTATATGGTTGTAAAGTAATAATTCAGAGTAGATGACGTCATAGCTACAGATAATCATAATGAAGATAAGAGGGTTACGTGAGCTTAAATAAATTAAAAGACACGAAGTTCAGCGAAGGGATTTCTTTTCAACGAATTTATCAGAAGTGTACAATCGCATATATATATATTTAAATGGCAATCAAATTAGTAAACGATTACACAACCATTCAATGTGATTATAAACTAGATAGAATAAATATGTGAACACTAACAAGATTATGCAAGACATAAGAATCCGATGAAAAGGGGATTGAAAAATTGACAAAGGTTATTTGGTTAACACGCTGTCGCTATCACGGAAAGGCTTGTCACAGTTTCCTTGTGTATGCATAGGTCAGGTCAGAAGTGCTTGATAGTTATTACCTCTACAAAACGGAGTAAAATTGTTCTTTGTCTTTTTGATTATTTTTAATGCATTGGTTATATTCACTTCATCTTTACTATTCAAAAGGTGCTTGGAGATTGCAGTCGTGAAGACCTTACTCTCTTTTACGCGTAGAATCTTAGGAATAAGTTTAGAAAATCTATTAGAAACCTTTCTCTCTATCTTTCCTATATACTTGCCACCACAGGTACATGTAAGTTCCTAGAATTGTTTAGAGTTGAATTTTCGTGCACCTGTGGTGGCAAAAAATATATACTAATTTTACTCCTTTTTGCAGAGACTATCAAGCATTTCCGACCTGCTTATATCTGCTACTGTTGCTCTCAAATGAATCCAATTATGATTAAAATATGTTGTTAAAACTGTTCTTTATGTAGTAAGATAGTGAATGATATCATGTATGTTGTAAGTAAAAGATAGTAAACTAATTTTTATTAGCTAAAATCTGAATAAAATTAAAGTATGTTTAAATAGATTCCAGCAGCTATTATGAGACGGATAAATTTAAGAAAGGTGTAAGTATATCATATAATTAACTAAGCCAACAATCCAGTCAATTTATCATCATCGTAGTAAGTCGAGTTTTTGATCGTAGGGATTTTCCATCCATTTTGGTTTTTTTGCCTCATCAAATTCCAAAGTACTCTTGAGTTTATTCAATGGCTTCCACCAACCTAAGTTATCACAATTGTTACATAATAAATTTTACTAATTTTCTGGTTCTAATTCACTTCTGTTTCTGCACACTTTTATATTTTCTCGCTCATTCGTTTAATAGTCTTATCTATATTAAAGCTCACTGATAACTTGTCATTTCAAGTGCTTTAATTGTGCAATATAATGTTATCTTTCAATTCGGTCAATACATTTGATTAGTTCGATTACGAGTGTAAACAGCTACAAACAGCTGCAGAATATAATTAATTCTAAATAGTGTATTTCATTTGTTCTTTCATGATATACAATTTTTTGTAGTCTAGTGATAACCAGTACATGATTTTGTATTCACAAAATACTGAGCTATATATTATTACGACCAACATTTGCTTTAAGTGTAAGAAAGAAAATCATGTAAACTTACGCTAATTGAGATGGAAATGAACAACGATGAGTATCACCCAAATGGTAACAACGATCACTGCTGTACAAATGATTTCTTGTATTGAACGGAATGGAATTTGATGTGGGCTTATCAGCAATGCTTGTTATGGATAACAAACGAACAGAATCGTTTGAATGATAAAGTACCTAGAAGTCATTTTAAGAACAGGATATTCTGAAATGTTTTTTACAACTAAATGAAAACAGATTAATATTACAATGGAGTTACGGAGAAGCCTCAAACATAGAATTGGCTAATATGTCACAAGGAACTGTTATTTACCCTCTTTTCTATGATTTTTCTCGTGATTTATTATCTTCAATAGAAAACACTTTTGTTAAAGATGCGGACGATCTCACTGTATGTACAACAATGATTCTTACCTATTTACATACCTTTAAAATGAATGAGTTCTTGTCTCTTATTGAATTGTGGTCTGTTGTTAATGGTCTCACATCTAGTCCATCTATATATCAAACTGTTAACTTTAGCCTGACATATGAACAGCACCTAAACACCCTATTGGAACCCCATAAAGATGGTACTATTGGAGATTCTTCAATAAAAACGTTCTCAAAGGTCATTTATCTTGGTGTAATTTTTTCCTCTGATCTCTCTTGGTCTTCCATGTTTGGTTGATATTGAAGAAATTTTTCTGGTTGACATACTGTATAAAGAGACTTCTTGCTTTTCCCCTTACAGAATACTAACTTTTACGACTTGTTAATTCTTGCGTATTACCTATAATTCTTTACTGTCCTCTATTATTTTTCCCCACGATTGTGAAAAAAGACTTTGCTATATTGAAGAGTGCTGAAGGCAGTTAGCAGGATGTGCGGTGAATCTTTTAAGGCCATTACTAATATGGTTGTAGATAAACATCTAAAATCTTGTAAACTTATGGAAGGTGTAGTCTTATCAGGTACTAACCATCCACGTCATTTATATCTTTCTCCTTGTATATCTTCTGGTGGAACGAAATTCTAATACATCAGAATACCTTATCTAGAAAATATACCAATGTGGCAAACAGGTTGTTAGAGCTGAACTAGTCAACAGCTTGTATTCTTAAACACGTTTCTAATCAAAAGGTTGTACAGATTCAAATCTTAAAAAACGTTTCATTTAATTCCAGGTAGTTTATCTACTTAGTTTATGTATATATGTATGGAATTAGCAGTTTCCTTCGCCTTTTTTCTTTCTTGTAAAAGGAACTTGTTGAAATACCTTGTGTTATGAATGCTATATTATACCTAAAATATATTCTATTTTTAACCAAGTGGATGTAGAATCTAACAAAAACCAATGTAAGGGAAATATGAAATTTCCTCCATCAAAATACTAGACCTTTAATGTATATGAACTATAATGATGCTATGTATAAGTTACGAAGTATGGGTTATAAAGCACTTAAAAGCCAGAATTTCAACTAACTGATATGACTGAGAAGTTTCTTGCGCCCACTTAGTTAAGGGTTACCTTAGCATGACGAATGAGTGGCTTAGATTGAAGTCAAACAATGATTAACTAGTATCAGTGATTAATATTGTTGCATCGTATAAAGAAATGAGGGTTTCGAAGTACAGATCATCTAGATTTCCTTAATCAGTGGTTGAGAACATTTAAGATGATATAACTGTAAATCAGTTAAAATGGATTACAAATAGCCCGAGGGAAACATAGTCTCACTAAAAATTCAGTAATCATCCCGGATACAAAATTCAATCTTATAATCAAGGACCTCTCACTTAGCTTAATTAATAAATTCAAATCTATTCATCTTCTATGAATGATACACTTTCAAGAAATATTCAATTGACAATACATTTAGCCTAAAATATTATTACATGCTCAGTATTTTGCGAGATAGTGACCTGTTCCATTTCATTTGTATAAAGATGGCTCTTTTCTGACTTAATCTTAGAACTTAGAACTATTAGTATATTGTTTACATGAACCTAGGGCTTTCCGTTAATATTTTTTCCTAATTATAATTATCATTACAAAATGGTGGTACATAATTTTAGACCAAAGTTTGCTCTCAATAATTTCAACTTAAAACACACATGGTGAACAATCTGAAACACTAAAGAATCATTTTATTCTTCTGAAAAATTATTTTCATGTTTAATTAAACCAAACTGAATCATTGTTGATAGTAGTTATTTTTTGTCAAGAAAAAGAGATTTCTAATTTCAATAAAACATTTACCTTAATGAAGTTTGCTTCACTGCAAGGTTTAAACCTGGGGTATCGGGATCAATAATATTAAAATGTCACTCTATGAGAATTATGAATATTATCGAAAATTTGTTTTGAATTGCAGAAAAACCTAGTAAAATACCCAGCCTTCCCTTCTTAAAATCACTAGCACTTTTTGGGCAATTAAAATAACAGGTATATAGGTATGTGATAAAGAAACATTTGAATGGTTATTTCTTCAGCATCGAAATATGTGTCATAGGTAATAAGGTTTCAAAAATAGTTTTCAACAATGGGAAAACAATTTATTAATGGTGTTTCTCAATTTCTGTAACGATGAAACCTAAACAAGATATATGTTCATCCTTAATATTTAAATGAACTCAAAGTTACGGTTACTTGTTAAAAAACCCAACCATTTGAGAGAAGGATAAATGGTTCAAAATTTAGATAAAAGGATTGAAAATGTAACTTGACAGTTGGCTGACCTAACAAAACAGTAATATATTTCAGTTGACTTGAATGATTCGACTTGCAGTGATCTGTAAAACCTACTGATATGCAATACGGTAAAAGTTATAAAACTTTAGACTCAACAATAAAGATAAATCAGTACTGATTTTATTTCAGTTAATTTATCTCACGCACTCTCAACAAGGTATTTTTAATAAAATGTACAAAGTATATTTATATAACATGATAAGTACTAGTTCTCATAGTAAAAGTTAAAAACAACCGTTTTTAGATTTAAAATCAACTTACTGAGGCATTAACTAAGTTATTTTCTTTAAATTTAGACATAAACGAATGACAAAACAGTCCACATTGTTTACCACGTTTTGATTTTTTGGGATTAAGTTCAAGACTACCAGACTCACAAAACATATAAGAAAGCCGATTGTTTTTTTCGGTATCACAGCCGATGGATTTACGTCTACGATATTCTTCAAGTTTTTGTTCCATTCTAGATGACTCAAGAAAATTTACTGGTGAAAGGGGATTATCAATGGTCAACTCTTCCATTCCCATCCTTTGAAAGATTCGAGAAGATTTCATTGACTAGCGGTAATGGATCAAAATAATAATATTTACTGATAAAAGGTTAAAAACAATGTTTAATGAAAGCTACTTTTAAACTGCACAAAAATGCTCTATGTTGTGTCCTCAGTTAAATATGAAATCACATTGAACTAGCAACAACAACAGTCAAATAGCCTATGGACAGTGATGATTTGAATAGATTATCTGTTGTTGAAATTTTTCCATATAGCCATGACTATAGTTATTTATCCAAAGTCAAACAAAGACTGATAAAACTCAATAAATCGCTCCAGAATTAAAACAAGAGGAAAACCATTTAGTGTAAAACTGGTTTTATTCTTTTATTAAATTTTACTAAGCTTTATTTCTATCAGAACCATAAAGCATAACATTTGAATAAGTAAAACAACAATGAAATTGTTATTTGTTAATTTTAATCAGAACACATTTTTAAAGAATGATTTTTCACACAAGCTTTCAATCCATCTATTCCATGAGTTTAGCCAATAGTATGGTTTAAATTAATATAAAAATTATATAACTTTTCTTAAATTATTGCTTTATTTATAACAAGGAGTCTTAAATTCATATATATTGATAGTGATATAATTTAATAACCGAATACATGTTTATACATCATGCTTTAAGATATATTAATTAGGAAAGGAATCGAGTAATTGATTTTTCGGTTGAAGTTTAAGCAGATGGGGTTAATTTCTAGCTTATAACCCTCGGCTTTAATATCAAGTCATTATATGGCCGAAACTGAAGGTGTTTTATCGTGAAAGTAATTTAATCTCATACATATATAACACATATTACCTGGCCTTCACCTAATTCAGTTCGTTAATAATCTAACAATGAAAGTAAACTTTCGTAAAGATGCAAAGCGCTTTTATTGACTCATTATCCGGTGAAAATATCACTTTTTTGATGGTCTTCAACTACCAATATAAAACTGGGCTTTAGTACTCTTCGCATATTTCACACTATAATGAACATTCAAGGTACAAATATTTCCGTTCTTCATATTGAAAAATAAACACATGTTGCAAGAACTCAAGCTAATTAACTATGATTACTTTATTGACCCTTCATATTATGAATTGGCAGACATAGACGATAAACTCAGCCGAAAATTATTCTTAGTTAAATTCGAAAACACGTAAAGTTTGTATCAAGAATAACGCACAACGTAATCCTCTATGGTTTGACGTCACATACTCAATAACCAAATTGAGGTTAACAGCTTTAATTATTACTTAAGCGCTTATGAAAACAGCAGCTGACAGAAACTGATTAAAATTAAGCCTGTGTGTTATGATACCGACGCATACAAACCACAGCATCACACAGCTTTTATAATGGAAAAAATTATTATTTATGTTTGCAGAGTATTCATATTATTTATTAGAATACCTAACAGACACTTTAATAATAGTAAGAGGAATAGTGACTGATATCTTGGTAAAACTACTACCACATATAATTATCTACGTGCATTGGTACGAGCGATACATCTTGAGGTTTGACAGCTAGTTGATGTTAACGCAGATGAAGATGAAGGGGTTGTCCATTTAGTTCGATATACTGTTTCTCACAATCAGAGCACTTTGTTTTGTAGATAACATTCGGCTTTTTTTTCTTATGTCATTGCATACGATTGATTGGAGTCATTTTGCCGGTTTATGTTGTTTGTGTATGCTTTCGATTGGCTTTTTGTCTAACTCAATATGTTTATTACGTCACCCCACAAAATGTATGATGATTTGTTAGGTAATAATCCGGTTCCTAAAAACTAAGTTATGACAGTTTCTATGGTATGTTGTATACTGTAACTGACTTAAACGTGTGAGGTAATATGCGAAGGGTAATAAAACGCAATACGTTCACCATATTCTGTTCAGCATGTTGTTCTCTTTTTATGAAAATTTATATATCAACTGAAGAATTCTCACCTCTTCGACTATACGTTTCTGTTCTAGCCATTGTTCAAATTGAATAAAATCTGAAGCACGCATTGGCCACTTCGCACTGCTTTCCTTACGAAGGCTTTTTCGTGCTGTTTTAACAGCTCTAAAAAATAAATAGGTTTTGAAAATGTCCAAGTATAAAGCAATACATAAATCTGTTAGTTCAATGACCTAAATAGTCACAAAGAAACGGAACATCCTAAAAAGAATTATACTAAAATGAAGTAAGTAATAACATATATATTCAACTAGATGAATAAATTTAAAGTGTGGAAGTACTTTGGGTTATGTTAAATTTTAAGAAATCGGATACTTCATTTGAGTCATCATAAGTAGGCTAATATGTTTCTTTTATTTAAAAAAATTCACTGTTGAAAGTTTGGAAAGATTTGTTTTGTATTTATGTAAATTTTATGTGCATTTATATCAAAACTGTATAACTAAAAAACCACACCAAATAAATATATTGAATCCGAGAATACTCTGGTTACATAATTGTGACTACTAAGAATATGACAAAGTAAAAATAGCGCTCCAAAGAATGTATGGAACACTTACTGAATGGCTGTCTCCAAACTAGATATCCAATCTTCAGCTTCAGTTAAATTACCATTCACGATAGTAAAGTTAGCATCACGACAGTGCACCTAGAAGACAAAAAATATTCGTATATTAACAACTGATCTCAATGTAAAAATATAACAGCTGTGATAGAATATTTAATTTCTATATAATATGCTTGAACTTTTTGCAAAACAAAAAAAACATAGTGGGATGAAGTCATTTCATTTTATTTGGTGAGCTCTAAATCCCCCACTGACTTTTATAAATACATGAGATGTTTCACAAAAGAAATTTCCAATACAATATGCATAAAGTCATTCAGTTAACTAATAAAAATAATCATTACTTTCTATGTTGATATCATCTCCAAAAATTATTATTATTTTCACCATTAATATGATTACTTTACTAGAGTTTATTGGTAAATAATATCAATTTTGTGATCTTGTCAACTGTGATCGTAGCACCTTGAACATGTTTCTTGTACTTGACGTCATGTTTTTCTCTCTCCTATTTCATTCTTCTATAATGTGAACTTGGAAATATAGCTTATAATAATAACTTTTCGCTCGTGAACTTGATAATCTTACGCATATTACACACTAAGCTATATTTGCAAAAAATTTAATGTATAAGTACAATTTGGTGTCTGTGTGGAAGGTTTAGAGTACAAGAAATGAAATGAATTCATTTCAACCTAAAACCCTAGTGCTTTCTGTGTCTTTTCACAAATATTTATAATAAGTATGAACCAAATCTGACTAAATAGCCGATTCATTTCCTTACAAGTGTATACGAAGGTTTCCTTTGATACTGGGTATTCTCGGTAACAAAAACGTATAATCATTAAACCACTGGGAACTTACGAATCGATTTATTTTATCGACACTACTTATTTAAAGATGATGCTCCTCGGGTATTGAAAGCAACAAAGCTAGACACAATAAATAAGTAATTACATATGACATTAAATTATGGGTGCTATATCTCTTCTGTAGAAATAATGAAAAATGAATAGTACTTTGATTTACAAACGAAACAACTGAAAATGTGGATTACTTTAGAACAGTAATAAATTTTCTATTCGACAAAATCATTTACTTAGGCTGTACATTCGTATTGAAAAGCATGCAGTAAACTGCTTTAAAAATATAGGATATGAGGTTTACAACTATGCAGCAATATAGAAACGGCTAACTAATTAAAATAAATGCATGAGACAATTAGAATCGTCGGAGACAGTGTGCTCGCTGAATACTTATTTTATATGAACTGGAACCATGACCATTTGAAGAATAAGTTCAATAGAAAGAATTAACCGTGAATGTGTTGTAGAAGGATATTAACACAATATAAGGCTAAGTATAAAAATCATTTATTTATGATATCCCTAAACATTTTAATTACTATTACCAATAGTTTGGTGATAAAAACAGTTCGATTATTGGCAGTTTATAAAAATTAGTACAAACTGGAAGATGGATTCTAGTATACTCTAATGAAGTACAATTTCTGGATGAAGATCAGTGATCTTCCTTGACAATAAAAAAAGCAGATATATATCGATAAGATTTTTAGCCATTGATCGAACACACTGATAATGTCATCTTATTACCTAATTATATGCTAAATGTATATTGCATGATTACCATGCACACAAATAACAAAGTTATTTAAATGATAATTAAGACATACAGTGAAACTGTATTCATTCAAAGGTTCAGGGTGTCTCATTGTGTAGTCATCTTCATTGAAGGTAATAAATGAATCCGACTTCAGTCTTACAACAGATGTTGATCCACATGCATATTCATCGAACGCCAATGGTGTTGATGCAGTGTGACCTGAAAAGAAACCCAAATACAATATCACTATCTTTGACTCATTGGTTAGTTCAATCTTAAATAATACGTTTTAATAAGCTGGTCATTGCATAGTTTAATTTTTAATTGGCGTATGAACCTATTTTTGGTCACCAGCTACCATGGGACTGCATCTCCCTGCGTTGTTCTAATGCCTTGTAGATCAGACCTCCAGATCAAAGGCTCCGGATGTGGCCCTCTAAGAAGACCACCTGCTTCTGTTTGGGCACCCGAGCAGTATCATGGCCCTCACACATATCAGCGATAACTACTACTGGCCATATTATTATATGTATGCCCCCTTGTACCAATGTTTATGTGTTCAAAAAAATAATGAACAAGAAAAGCTGTCGGAAGGTGTAACTTGTATGGAAATGACGTACATTCAGGTTAAGTATTAGTAGTATGGATGGAGATAAAAAAACATTTAGACGATAAACTTAAAACCACCTTCCGAAAAAACTCTGAAAGCTAAAACATTTTATTGCTTATAAACTGAACATTTTATTTTTCATAATTCTAATGACTACGCATTTTTTACTTAAAAAACACAATCGTTCTAAAGCAAACTAAACAGACATTATCTAATGAACGAGTGCTATCGAATTCATATTGGCTTAGCTAGTGAAAACGAAAACGTCCGAACGTAGTTTATACCCGAATTCGGAAAATTCTTTTCTCATATTGTAATCTAAGCATAAAATGACAGAAATGAAAATAGAATCCTATGGTATATAAAATAATATAATAATGATATGAAAGTGAAGTTTATTATGCAATAAGCAAAATATAATAAATATATTAAAATCGTTTTGCATTCACACATGTTTGTTCCGATTTGACACTACAATTACATTCAACAATTTGTTTTGTAAAAGCAAATAAACTGATGACTGATAAATTCATATGCTTAAGAAAACTAATAAAAAACTGAATAATTCAGATTTTTTTAATGTTAAAATTTGATGACAATTTACAACATTACGCAAATAAACAAATCAGGCAACAAGTATTGTAATTAACAGAGAATAGTACTCACGACTAAATCCTCCGATAGAAATTGGTGAAATGAATACTGAGTTGTTTTGATTTGATTGACAACATTCAGGAGACTCAGGAATCGGTTGCAGAAACGTATTATGTGGTTTAAAATGAATTTGAACATGACAGTGATGAAGAGGATAGACAGCAACACATGAAAAACAAACTTTACTATCTGTTAAAAAATCAGTTGAATCGTTAAAAGTTTGAGAGTTAGAACTTTGTGAGACTGATTTAGAAAATTTAGGAACGTGAATCAATGAGTTTGTGTCATTCGACTTTCGAATATGTTTTATAAACCCTAAAGACATTTTTCTTCCGTAAAACTGTGTAAAAGGATTAGGATATTTTCGACTATAAACACATTTTTTCTTGCTGAAAATGAATTCCAACTCCGTCTGGGTTCGCGGTTTAGCACATATCAGTATATCAGACATAATCACTAGTAAACGAGTTTCTGCAACTCCATCGAGAGAATTCACCTGCAATGAAAAAAGCTATGATTATATATTTGACAAAGTAAATAATTTGGGTTATCGACATAGAGAAGGATTGAATTGAGAGATGAATTACATCAAGAATGATACATATGAAGTTGTATTCAGCTTAAATGCTCAATATTCATAGGTAAAGCCTAAATCCACTTTCGTTTTAAGATGTTAATGAAGAGTGATAACAATCCAGAAACTAAGATTTCGAAATATGTAGAAAGTCAAAGATTCCTGCTTAGATTGTATAAAATTAACAAAACGACTACGTGATTTCAAGAACCTAACACCATAGAAGTTTAAAATGCTTACCTTTTTCACCAATCCATACTTCAATAGTTTACGCCCAGGTACTAGAATGAGGTTTTGCGACCATTTGCCAAAAAGTCTTGATTGCAATAAAGCGGCCTTAGTAGCTTGCTCACTGATTCTAATCTGTTCATTTAAAAATGTTGCTGTCGCTACCACACTAGCAAAACCTGCAATAAGAATAATTGTGGAAGCACACATTCTATGAATATAACGTTTCAGATCTGAAAAACTTGAATCATGAGATTCTGGAGAGTAATGCACTTGATGATGATTATCCGATAGTTTTAAAATAAGAGTGGCTGCATATTCTGGTATCATAAAATGTTGACGAGCAGCTTCGTTAATACTAATGGCACATTTATTTGCTTCGGGATTACTTAAACCGTCCAGTTGAAGGCAAATGATAACAAGTTCTTGGAGTATTAAAGAATACCTAAAAAAAATTGAAGTTCGTTAAATTCTCTCGTACATCCATCAACATTGCGGAAACATAAAATTAATTTCACTGAAGACATACTCCTTCTATTCAACGGCACGTAGAAAATAATTAATAACCTATCTGTGAGACCACACACATGTTTGTGTACTAAGAACTAAACCACACAAATAGTGGTACAGGCAAAAATATTAAACGCATACATAAGCGTGAAATTCGGACCACAGACCACAGGAAACATAATTTGCGAGCGGAGCAACAATACGATAATATTATATTTTCGACAATTTGATTCTGACACAATAGTGTAGCGGTAGTTTGCTGACACGTTTGGTCAGGCATGTAGGTTTTAGCCTTCAAGGGTATCAAAAGGTGTATGTCGTGTCACATTCCAGGAAACATAAATTATCTAGAACTATTTCTAATAGTTCTTTCAAATGACATCAATGTCCATAAAATCCTTCTTTTAAGAAAATCAATGAGATCAGGCAAGGCATTAATATATATGAAAAGTTATACTTAACAGGCATGGTTCTACAGATATCAATTATCATACATAATAAAACCAAAGATTTATCAATACAGAAACATACCGAGGAATGCGCTGTATGGGCATTATGAGGAGTGCTGAAAGCTGTAAATTAACATCTGGTAAGCTTTCTTGTTTATTTATAAACTCCATTAGTCCTGGTATGAATGCATTACAAGTCTAAAAGACCAAAAATAACACTTAATTTAACATGTACGGATACCACGAATCAAGCGAAATTCTAAACCACATAAAAGTAACTTTTTCCTGCTAACCCAAAAGCACTCAATTGTATTCCGTGAAATGATTGCTTGTAAATGTTACAAAATAATTTAAATAGCAAATGAGTTCTTTTAAGAACTATGATTAGTTCCAAAGTGCCAAACAAACAACTTTTACACTAATGAAATCTAAATAAAGGATTAGTTCATCTTACCTATTGAATTTTCACTGTTGATTTATAATTACGCTTGTTAATGTGTGATTTTATGGATCCTCATATTCAGATCAGCACGTTTTAAAAGAGACGTACACTTAAGCTATCATTCTTTGAGGAAAAATTTCAGACCAAGGGTATTTTTTCTTGTTTATTTCTATAATGTGAAGTTTCCTCTATTATATTATAGCTAAAAATCAGGATTTACTACAATATGTGGAATATGGAAAGAAACTTATATGAACCTATGTTGTTCGTATTACAAAAACAATGCATTACGGAATTGACAAAAGATGTTCCTGAGAGATCATATAGAGTTGGGAATCTACCTGACCACTTCAAGTAACAATTTCGATAATGCGTGACTTAAACAATGAACGTAAGAAGAGACAGAAAGAGTACTTAGTTCGTTCAAAGCCTAGAAAATTGGATTCCCAATAAATCTCTGTCGGAATGTTTGTAGTTTTTCGAGTATTTATCCTTATCTAACTATTTAGAAGTCTCAGCTCCTGGTTTCGAATTTTGTGATGGTCGTAGTACTGTTTACAAGTTCAGGTTTAAAACATCTACCCACGAACAAGAGGCCTAATACCTTTTATCTACGGGGATTTAGAAGGACTTAACTCCAGTCTAGTAGATTGTTGCTATTATTATCTAAACTACAGGCACAGAATAGAAAGAATGTTGACCAAAAGACACAAAAAATCTCTACTTAAACTGAAGAAAAGATAAGTACAATATCCTCGAATAATGACCCAGCAGAAGAGACTATGACAATTGACTTAATCACTAAATAGCCCAAGACAAACAGATATAATCTCTCAGGATTTTCATGTAACACTTAAACCCAGCGGTACCATGTCACTAAGGCATTATATCTATCCAAAAGTATATAAATCTGAATTATCGCTGTGGCAGAAAGATGTATAGCAGAACCTCTAAAGGCACTGCATAGAGACGTCTCACAGCACGTCGTAAAAGATAGTCTTAAATCTATTGATAAAACCAGAAATTCGGAGATGAATAATAGATTTGTGATATCTATGGATGTTTCACGAACGTGTCTTTAACGGAAATAGATGATTTCATATACAGTGAGCCTCAAAATCAGCTAGTGGAAATTAGTATCCCCACCTTTTCCTTGCAAGATTACAGAAGGGGAACGAAGTAATTATGCATCACAGAATACGGAAACAAAATTGTGCAAAGATAGAGGGAAGGTGATCACAATAAAAAGACAACAAAAAAATAAAAATAAGTGAACGAGAGCAAAAAATAATAGGAGTTTAGTTCAGAGAAATATAACCAGTTCTTTCAGTTAAATAAGTCCCTCTCAAGTTTAAGAACTAAAAGAAAACCATGAAAGGACCGCCACTGGCTTTAATTAGGAGCCATGTCTAGTGACGTTTTAATTCACCGTGTAGTACTATCTCTCGGACCTAACCAGATAGTTGTGGAGGACCGACATAAATTTCGAACTTACTCAACTCTTATTCCTACATAACGAATTTTTGTAATTAACTGATTACACAACCTTGTCTGTAGATTTAATATCACATTCGTTGAGATTGTGACTACCGTTTTAGAGGAGACATTGTTGAACTGATCAACTACCAATTGTTTGCAATTGATTTCATTCTTAACTGCAAAACCTATGTATTAGTATAGAGCCTTGATGAAGAACTGGTGGAAAGAAGGCATTTCTTTGCCCAACTTGTTTTTCAATATCCCGATGGAAATATCTCACATACAATGATTATTGTCAGGTTGCATTTTAGGTCGAAACTTTCAGTCTATAAAATACCTCAGCGGAGGCCACAAGGACTCTGTTTTACAAATTTTAGGGTATATCAATCTTAATCTTTTAAAGTACTCTCCATTTCTGTCATTGCACTAGTCTCAGCACTGATTCCTTTGTTCACAACATTCATGGAATGTTGTGCAAGTCAGGCCTTTTTACTGCCTGGTTGTTTCATTTCTTTGCACGATCTCGCACAGACGAGTTTTCTAAATTCAGGTCACTAGAAACTATGCCAACAGGGAGTCAACGATTACAAAGTAAAAGAGATCGATGAACGTTCAGTGTTTTCATCAATACAGGTACAGGGTCATCCCAACCTTGTATCAACCATGTAGTCTTCACAACTTACGCTGAAAAACTCTAATGCCTTTTTTGGAAAGCTAGATCTTTATAATCTCCCCAAACTTTCCACAAAATTAATTAGTTTTTCTAATGCTCCAAAGAAAATCTTAGTGCCTCAGTTTGCTCATATATATTAAGCAAACCATGTATTTCAGACGTAAGATTTCAGTTGTGTAGCTCTTTATGCCAATAGTGAAACGGTGCATTTAAAGGAGTTACTTTTAGTATGTTATATTTTGGTTAACTATGTACTGCAGTAGCAAAAGAGATAGGCCAGGGACAAACGAGAAACTTAAGAAGTTAAGGGGAAATATAATGTTTTGCAAACTTTTAAGCAGAAGCAAATACTAACATCTAACCAGTTTAGCTCTGATGAATTTGTATTACGATTCGGACTACCTTATCTTGCTATTAACAGTAACAGTACAGATAGAAACATAATAAAAATAAAACCACGCAAACTGAACAACTCGCCTCCATAAACACAACGTTAGTTTGGTAGCGGTTGGCATAATCTGCATATAATTTCAGACATGGAGAAATTTTCAGAAATGCTTTCTCTACTCCAACAGTTAAAACAGACTCAAGAAGAGTTTCATTGACACTTAAGATGGGCACGAGACGTCCAAAAATTTCAGAGTGTATATCTTCTGGCAAGTATCTGCGGTCAATTAAGGGCCTTGCAAAGTACTAAAAGATTAGACAAGCAATATGAAGTTACCTTTAAAACCTTCCTGAGGTAACTTATGTATTTAATTTCAGAAGTCACGAGTTCGTGTATTAGGTCATCTTTTGATCGTAGAAGCTTGACTTCGGTATTTGAATTATTTGTGCGTAAAGAGAATGAATTTTTCATCGGCAGGACTTATAACAAAGGTAACAAACGTCTTTTAGAATGTTGACAAGGTTAACTTAAACTTTCTCATAATTCAGCTGGAATAGAAGTCAAATTTATGCGAAAGCGTAAAATGAAGGAACAGAAATAAAGCTATTATGTATGCAAAAAGCATCAGTAAAAGACTTCAGATATATCCACGACTCCATTTGTAGGTTAATCACTACTAATGTATAACCAAAACAATTAAGCGTACGCAAGAAGCATGATGAATGTACGTCGATTTCCTCAATATATTAAAAATATTGTCAAACGTTGCCTAAAGTTGATTGCTTATTTAAGCCTCATGCCTTTTTGGGACATCGATGGATGACCAAAGATCTTCGAAAATCTCTGCTTTAGGCTCTCTTTTCCAGCTACTGACAAGTGACATCTACGGTGTTGATGTCTCGACGGGATACCTACTTAGTTGGATACACTGGTGATGTTTTCATGATTTTCTTGATCCATCGAAGGCGGTGAGGTAGGTAGGTTGTATCCTAGGTACAGCGACAATGGTGTGCTATATACGCTTCTCATTGTTATTGTTCCTAATAATAGTTTAGTATTAAGTAACTATAGCTCTCAGGTAAGGTAAATAAACCGTCATTGGAACTCGAAAAATTATAGACCATATGGAAATGTAACATACTACATAAAACATAATTTTTTCATAGGAGGACTAAAATGACAGATTGAATTAATATTGATGCTGAAAGTGGTAACTTCAATTATGGGGCCAAAGTATGCCACCATATGTAGTAGTCAGAATAAGACAGACTCTTAGTCACGTCATTGGTGGATTCTCTTGAACAGATTCCTTGCGACTTGATCTTCATGAATTTAAAAAGCGGTATTTATAGTTATTCGGCAAATTAAGCCACAAATAATATCTTTTTATACCATATTAAGGTTTGCTGGTGTAGTAATGTACAAATATACGCAAATGCGTTACTATTTAAACACTCGAAATGGAAAGATGTAACAAAATTATCAATTGTGCTCATACTTCCATTCAATATGCTCTTCGATGCATCATAGTACTTGAAATCCAATGTGTCTGATAATAACGTTAGTTTATGAACTGACGGGTCTTTTCCATGACACTTGCATGGAATTAGTTCAATTAAGCTTTTAATATGAGTTTCTGCAGAGCCAGTTGTGTTTTTTAAATCTTTGTTCTCATAGTACGTTGAAGTTTAGTCTACGTTTATGATTTTCAAAATAATACCATACGCTTAGATTCATCAATAAAATCAAAAATCCCTTAAACGTCAGTAAAAAAATTTCAAGAATATGTAAGCCTAACTAATATTCATTTTTAAACCTAAAGTACGGTCAAAAATATCTCAAAGTTTACTACTTCCGTCTACAATTAAGATGTTTTTGTCAATCCATAATTTTTCAACGACGAAATCTTAACTAATTATTCTAGGGAACGCACTCCATATCAGTCAACACAAATGTAATATTTTGTTATGTTTATTTAGCTTTGTGCCTTGAAATAAGTAATTTCTAAAGTGTTTGGTCGAAACTTTGTCGCTGTCATATCCATCACTTTGCGAGTTATAACGGTAAAATTTAAAGTCTTGTTACTTAAAGTTCTACTTAAATACTATTCCGCACCCTTTTGTCCGCTTTGAGTTTCGCGATCCTAGTTTTTTTATTTGGTTTCCTACACCTTATAATAAAGCTCAGGAAAACTGCCATACATTCGTAATGATTTTATTTTATTTACGTCCACAGCCTTTCAAAATAATCGGTGCAAAGCACTTTCATGGTGGGAATTTCAGCTTCACCTGCTGATAACGACAAGGCGTTCAGTACAGGCCACAATCTATGTACGGCATTCGATCCTGATGTGTATGATTAATGTTACAAGTCGTCTACATTACCGTTTTTCTAGTACATGTTAAAATTCTATGAACGGGTTACTGAACAAATGGATAGTGAAGCTTATTGTTGTATTTTTATGGGCATTGATCCAGTATGCAATAAGGATTGGAAGACAGTTGTTTGTGTGCATGGCTAAATATTTAGCCAGTTTGTAGTATTTCGAAGAACCTCATTTTCATGTTAGCTAATTGCCATTTTTTTTAAAAAACAAGAAGGTAAGTCTTGACCAATGCTGTTTTTGAATTTAAAGTATATTAATGAATTTCAGACCTCAATAAAAATTCGTTTATATTATAGGTGAACAATCTTACATTTCAAATAACGCAACTAACAGCATTCGCAGGTTTCCGGCCGTAATCACAGTTTGAATAAAAGTTTTGCTGGGCTTGTAAACCTTTTTTACGGTGTCCTCATAAATCTACTGTTCTGGAAGATAAAAAAGTGAAGGCATGTTAGGTACAAATTTATTATTTAGGTTTTATTTGGAACAGACCTCTCTGAAGTCAATCTTTCTTCGTTTGATCGATGTGAGTCAGCTGTTACCGAGCTCATTTGAGGCGGCTGTACATCAATTTCTGTGTCAAATGTAACCTGACCTGGTTTACCAGTACACTTTTTAGCTGCATCTGAGAGGTACTTCTTGCAAAACTACAAGCAACCATTTTTACTAAACCGTTTGAAAACCGCAGACGTTAGATTCGTACAAACTTCGTGGTACCAGCACATGTACTTGTCAAACTGCATCTCGGGGTATCGACAACCCGGGCATTAATAATTGCTATAACTACACTGTCCAGCCATCAGGTAGACGTTCTCAAAAGGAAACTTGATACGATAACACCCAGAAAAAAAGTAATTTATTATCATAAAGGAGGAAAAGTGAAATTGCCAGAACCGAAAGTGGGAACAAATGCACTGGAAATAAAATGCCCAATAGTACTGTCGATAAACTACTTCGGAAACAAAAACGATAATTTTATAGAATACTTTAACTTAAACAAATTCAATTAATGGGTAAGCGGTGGTCTTGATATGTAATAAACCACCAAAATAATAACGCGCGGCTTAGGCCAGTCAATTGGATTGCTTGTGCTTGTTCTGGCAATTTGAGTTTCTCAGTCGGTCTGACTTCTTTTCGGACGTGTTGACAGGTTGAGATCAAGCCACGTGTTCAGTTAGTGAATGCCACATCTTAGTGATCGGCCCTTTAGGGAACATGACCATTCTCAAGATTGTAACGCTTGAATAGTCTGTTCTAAAATCATACTAAATTTGTGAGGGAAGTAACTTTCCATTTGGAAACCTGCACATTTTATTTTTAATTTTTTTTCTTAAATTTTATCAACCTTATGGGTTAGGCATACAAGTCAGTAGTTCGCCTTCTTTCAGTCGTCGATACCACGAGATCGCCAACAAATACATCTCGACTACAGCTATCAATAGCCTTCTGGTATCTGGCACGCAACCTTCTTTTAGTGGTGATCATAGTCAACCGTGACTCGATGCCACACTACAATGTCTCGATGTGAAAGTCTGTATACCACGCGTAATTCATTCGTTCTTGGCTTTTCCAAACCCGCGTTATGTATTCTGAGTTTACCCAATCTGATAGGGAGAAAAAGAGAGGGTATATCAGGTCAAAAATCATTTCCTAAAGTTCAATACATCAAAATCAGATTGCATATTAATCTGCGGTACGATGGAGTAAAGATGTCTAGCTTTTCAAGCTGATCTTTTTATAGCAAACCCCGAAGTTCTGGAATTGCTATGGTAGCTACCCTCTGTACTTTATCCAGAATATCCGAGTCACCTGAAGTGCACATGTATCTACATCCTCTGTTATTTCTCACCAGATTTTCATATCATCAGATTAGAGTAGCAACGCGGACTACACTACACTTGGGAATTCATTTACGTTCAGTATACAAAATAGAGACCCTAGGACTGAGCCTTGTGGAGCTCCACAAAGTACTGATTTCCAGGTAAAGCACTAGGAATTTGTTCCTACTACCTATCTATCTCATACCAGGAAATTCTCAGTCCGTTTTAGGAGATATCCTGCAATCAATATGTTTTGCAGCTTCAAGAGAAGTCCATTTGTTGGCACCTTAAAAATGTCTTGCTAAAGTCTATGTAGACAATATTCACTAATTTACTAACATCTAAAACCTTGAAACCCATGCTTTCTTGCTATAAGGAAGTTTGTTTTTCAAGATAAACCGCTTCAGAAACCATATTGTTCGCTTTTTGAGAAGTTTTTGATTTCTGCAAATGTCATTGTAGTCATCTTGATTATCACTTCGATTATTTTAACTACGACGCTGGCTAGGCTAACAGGTCTGTAGCTTGATGGAGGCTGTCTTGAACCTGTTTTTTGTGCTGGAGTGACAATTGCATCCTCCTAGTCTATAGGTAACTCATCTTGGTCATATGACATGTTGAATATCATAGTCAATGAGGCAGCAATGTATTGTGCAATTAGTCTCAAGATTTTAACACGTAGTTCATACGGCCATGTTAATTTTTCGGTGTCAAGCGTGCTCAGTCGTTCGATTGAAAATCCAATGCCGTGTCCTTGTTCCATAATTTGTGGGCCAAATGCTTTTTCCTCTTTTCGCTGGGCTTCACGGATTGTAACTACACACTTATTTCGTACCGATCTGTAACGTTCCATCGTACTTGTTGTTTCAACTCTGATAGAGATGTTCCAACGTCTCTTCTTTCGTCATGTTATCGTGGTCCATCCAGGCATGGCCGCACTTCTTCTTTGGGACTGTCCATGTATAAAATGTTGAGTAACGTTATGGTATGCTTGTCAGAAAATAAGTTGTGCCTCTTCTTCTGACGTCCATGAGTCTATTATCCAGATTTCAGGTGAGTCTTATCGCCTTCATGCCTGCTTTTCATATATTAGCGCAGGCTGTCGCAGCTGCTTGAAAAGCCATCTCAGCCAAGAACGTGGATAAGATAGCAGCACGACCAATTCTCCCTAAATATGAGAGGAAACGTATTCGGCATCATCACCGTGAGTAAAGAGTATGTCCAAGTGAGAAGTTTCTTAGGTCATATTTCGTGGGATCTCTAATGCGCTGGATTAAATATTGTCGATTGTGGTTTCTAACGATTCGCATTGTTTTCGATGACTCTACATCTATGTTTCACCGATTTATAAATGGTGCATTCAAGTCGCCTACACCTGTTTGACCGGGAATTAAATTTACTGTGAAGGAAGCCATGCACTACATATCCTGGAGAGTGACATACTACAACTAATCCAATGTCGGCAGCACATCAGTTCACATGTCTCTGAGCCATGTACGACCGTCCTAACAGCTCGTATGGTTAAGGTGCTTTTCGTATACAGAATAAACCTACCACCCCTAAGGTTCAGTCGTCCAGCCCAATTAAGTAAGAAACCAAGCAATTGAATTTCACTATCATAGACATATGACGTTGACCCTGTTTCTCAGATGGCAATGACATCCGAGTTTTCTGTGTCCGCCACTGTTTTGAGCTCCGCCATCTTATTTTGCAGGCTGAGAGCATTTGTGTACCATGAGCTTAATTCCATGAAGAACTTTCCCTTACCACCCAGACGTCACCACAACTTTCGGTCTGTTTAAATTCTGAAAGATGCCACTTAGACTAAAAAATGCAGCTCAAACACTAACAATTAATAGGTGAGGTCTGTAGAAGACTGGATTTGTATTTGTGTATATTGATGATATTCTGGCTGCCAGCTCTGGTCAGATAAAACTGACGCCATTTATTCAAGGGATTCTATGGGCTGGCTTGTATGATAGTGGTCCAACCGTGTTTTTTTAGTCTAATGTTGCTGACATGTGCTGTCGTTTTGGTAGAACTATTCGCTTTACTCGGCCACATTTCAGGCATAAAGGTCATTCGCGACATATTGGAGATGCTCATGAACGACGGTATTATGCCGGTGAACCGCCACAAACTATAGTCACTATAGTACGGCTGAAGATTTTCTTTGAACAGTCGAAGCATAAATTTTCATATTCGCATAAAAATCTAGCTATCGGTACGTCTATTCAAAGATTCTTGAAATGTTCATTTTATGAGCCTCTTTGTTGTTTATCTCATTTTCATTCAATAAATTATTCCATGTAATGGTCTGTCTGGTTCAATGTTAAAAATGCCCATTTTTCGTTTAATCTGCTATACTTGTCCTTCATATACATAACACAGGTAACTAAAAATCATCACTCAAAATTAACTAGATGATTAATGTATTGAAACAACTGTAAAGCAAAAATGAAAGAAGTAAAACACGCATAACACTCAAAAGTTCCATAAAATAATGTGTACAAGTAATACGTAAGGACAGAAAATTCATAAAAATAATAAGACACAAACAATGAAAGTTTAAGAAAACGCATTGTCACATCAAACACACATATAGGAAGTAATATGAATAAATATTTTGTTTCTAAGTGAAAAAAATCATTTCGATTGCAATGAACCAACCCAGATTGAAAACACTTTAATCGGTGAAGTTCAATTTACCTGGGATCATCACCGTTCAAGATCAACGCTTAATTCATGGAGAATAACACAACGAAATTAGTTAGTCTCCAGCAGAAAAATATTCATTTCACTTTTGCCCAATGATTGATATTGTTTATTAGCTACTGAAATTAACCCATGATATACACCGTCCAGGCTTTTCTTCAGAAAACTAGAAACATTTCGTCTCGTGTCGTTTGTAAGTCTATGCTCCTGAAAAATGTATATGCTAAGGACCATTTTGTATCGCCAATAAACCAAACACAAACTTGGACATTTGAATGGAATGTCCTCTCCTTTGAGTAAATGCTTGATACAAGAATCGGTGACGAAAGGCTTCAATGCTAAATCGAAGTTTCTTTTCTCAAGCACACTTATTAAGAATAGAATAAAGTGAAGAGATATTCAACAACAAGAAAGATAGATACAAAAGACTATCGAGATCTGGTCCATTAAGAATAGGTATAATCAATGGAAGAATGGCGATTTTTGAGCGACGAAGTAAGCAGATTGATTATAAGATATAAGGCTTTTAGATTATTCGAGTACCAGCAGTTAGCAGATCTGAAAATAATTAGTATCTGTCGCCGTTCATCCATAATTGGATTCTTTAACACGCTTCATCTCATAAGTTAAATTATAAAGGTCACAACAACTAAAGCACAGCACGGAATGAATAGTTGGCAAAAGCTGGAAAGGTTTCAATGAATGGAAATAAAACTAAATAGACCTTCCAACAGAAAATAACTAATCAAATAACTCGCATAAACAATATTCTAGTCATGCAGAATAATAATAAGAATAATAAGAATATTAACCATCAAAGATAAAAGAAATCGAATACATACATCAATATTTTTAAAACTAAAACAAAGAGGGAAAGCATGTATTTGGTTTAGCGTGAAAACAGGGAATTTTATTCATTAAAGCATAATAAAAGGAAAAGGGGCTGAATATGCAAGGGAATGAATTTAGTTTATTTTTCACCCTTTCTATAGAAATGTTGGTCCTAAATGTCTTGATTGCCTCGCTTTATGAGATTTACAAATGCATCGTAATCCAATTTGCCTTCTTTAATTGGAGCTTCTTTCCACGTTTGTCTTATCTATATAGAGGCAAAATAAAAGGTTTGCATGACATACATTTAAATTACAATTAAGATTTATTGAAATAAGTGAAACATTTTTTTCGAAATTTGTGTTAGATAATTGTTTAGTGTTCTCGAATCTTAGTCTAAATCCCTAGGGTTTTATGAAATAAACTGCACTCAACTTAGAATTCTCTAATATTAAATGCTGATGTAAATAAGGGATGGTAAAAACATTAATGCGAACAAACCTGTGAATCAAAGAAACGAGTATCCTGTAACTACATTATTGATAAGTACGTAAAAGGGAAACTTCGCCTGTAGCTCTTCTAGAGTTACTGCCGGTCCCAAGCCCGGGTAAAGGAGGAGGTTTGGGCATGGGGTTAGTGACCCCATCCCCTAGAAAACTAACTCGCTAAAAAAACGCTAACCAGTAAAAATAATTCAAACCATTTCAACTCTGCCCTGGGAGTTAGAAGGTCTTCATTTAGAAGAACTATGACGCCTCACGGTGAAAGCCGAGTTCCTTCGGAAGCCACGAGGCCGATGCCCCTTCTAACAAACAGATCAACAATTTTTATAGGTACATGGAATGTCCGAACAATGTGGGAGACCTTAAAGACCGGTCAAATAGCAACGGAAATGAGGAGATAAAACTTGATAGTACTGGGAATCAGCGAAACCCATTGAACCCAAGCTGGACAACAAAGGTTAAATACGGGAGAGATGCTACTATACTCCAGCCACGAAGAAGAAAATGCTCTAATGCTGTCCAAAGGACCACGAAATGCACTTGTAGGATGGGAATCTCATGGATCCAGAATCATCAAAGCATCATTCAAAACAAAGAAGGAGTAGATCACAATGAATATTATCCAATGTTATGCACCCACCAATGATAACAACGACATGGATTGACTGGGAGAGAGAAACGAAAATGGGGAAAGATTTGCAAATCTGTGTGCATTGAACAAATTGGTCATAGACGGCACAATATTTTCACACAAACGTATACACAAAGCTACATGGATCTCAACGGACCACACCACAGAGAACCAGATAGATCATATTTGCATCAATAAAAAGTTCCGAAGGACAATGGGAGATGTGAGAACCAGGAGAGGTGCTGACGTAGCTTCAGATCACCACCTAGTTGGGGCCAATTTAAAACTGAAGCTTAAGAAGAACTGGACAACTGGAGAAACAGCATTACAAAGGTTCAATACAGCCTTGCTTCGAGATACTAACAAAATCAACGAATTCAAGATAGCTCTCAACAACAGGTCCCAAGCCTTACAGTATCTACTGAAGGAAGAAGAAACTACTATGGAGGACAACTGGAAAAGTATCAAAGAGGCATTAACTTCAACGTGTCAAGAGGTTCTTGGTCTAAAGAAGCATCATCATAAGGAATGGATCTCTATAGATACACTGGACAGGATCAAAGAAAGGAAGAACAAGAAGACGGCAATTAACAACAGCCGAACACGAGCAGAGAAAGTCCAAGCACAAGCTGAATACATGGAAGCGAACAAGCAAGTGAAGAAGCGCATTAAAGCCGACAAGTAGAAATACGTGGAAGAACTAGCAATGACAGCGGAAAAAGCTGCAAGGGAAGGAAATATGAAACAACTTTACGATACAACGAAGAAACTAGCAGAGAAATATAGCAAACCAGAGAGATCGGCCAAGGACAAAAAAGGCAGGCCAATCACTGAAATTCAACAACAGTGGGACAGATGGGTAGAGTACTTCGAGGAACTCCTGAATAGGCCGACTCCAATGAATCCACCGGACATCGAAGCAGCACACACAGATCCTCCTATAGTTGACAATCCACCAACGGTGGAAGAAATCAAAATGGCCATCAGACAAATCAAGGACGGGAAGGCAGCAGGACTAGACAGCGTACCGGCCGAAGCACTGAAGTCAGACATCGAAGTAACTGCAAACATGCTTTACCTTCTATTCAGAAAGATTTGGGAGGAGGAACAAGTGCCGATGGACTGGAAAGAAGGACATGTCATCAACATCCCAAAGTAAGGAGATCTGAGCAAATGTGAAAACTACAGAGGCATTACACTACTGTCAATACCAGGGAAAGTCTTTAACAGAGTGTTGCTGAACCGGATGGAAGACGCAGTAGAAACCCAACTTCGAGATCAACAAGCTGGATTCCGTAAGGATCGGTCGTGCACAGACCAAATTGTGACTCTACGGATCATCGTCGAACAATCAGTTGAGTAGAACTCGTCACTGTACATCAACTCCATTGATTATGAAAAGGCATTCGACAGTGTAGATAGGAGGACGTTATGGAAACTTCTTCGACACTACGGAGTTCCTGAGGAGATTGTCAACATTATCCGGAACTCATACGACGGACTACAGTGCAAAGTAGTGCATGGAGGACAGCTGACATGCATTCCAAGTAAGGACCGGAGTCAGACAAGGCTGTCAACTCTCTCCCTTCCTCTTTCTTCTGTTGGTCGACTGGATTGTGAAGTAAGTAACGTAAAAGGGAAGTTTACGAATAAAATAGTACAAAATTCATTTTGTAGTCACAAAATTTTTCTTCCGTACCCTCAAATTTGCAGTCAATTTGAATTTCTGACATAATTACCAAGGAATAGATCATTCAAGCTCAATATACAAAAATTATAATTAGAATATAATTATTAGCATAAATTCATGTTATAATACATTTTAAAAAATGGAGTCTAGTTCCAAGATGAATTGACAAAAATAGTTAAAATGTACACTGGCTTATTCATAAATTTATTTCACACATTAGCTGATCTTTATGAATATTCTTCTTAACTTACATCTATTTTATTTAACCTAAACAATTTCGAATTCTAAAACTTAAATAATAAATTACTATAAAATTACTTATTCAAAGAAAAGACTATTATTCAGTTTCATTCACTCACCTCTTCAGCAGAGAAATTATCGCCCATATTTTCTAAAAGATCTTTGATGCTAAAATATGATTATGATTAATTGTAAGGTATAAAACACTTACTATTCTTCTTCCAAATATCGTTTGTTCCCTGGATCAAACATTGCAAATGCATTACGTAGTGCGTCTTCAGGATCAGTACCTGAAACACAAGACAAAATTGTGAAAAGATAGTTTATTCATTATAGTTTTAATGGTTACTTTGAAAATGAATTGAAATTTATACGTGAATCATTTAAATCAAGGAGCAATAAACAGGTATACAATATTAGACTGGAAATCTATATTACTAGGTAGTCATAATCGCACACATTACTAAACTCGAAACATTAAGGTTGTATTATAGACATATGTTTTGTTAAAGCGTCTGAAATTCTCCACAAGTAAACTACAATTAACTATTGTAGTTTATCATCGTGAGGATTTGTGGAGATTGTAGTATTTTAACAGTTAAATTCGCGAGTGTCAATCTAAGCTAGACCATCATTGAAAACCTGAAATTACTGAAGGTCCGTTTTGTACTAGTATGGGATCGCGGATGCACACCGCTGGGGAGTCCCAAACTAGTACGAAACGACCTTCCAGTGCTTCCAGGTTTTCAGTGGTCGCCTAGCTTAGATTGATACTCATAAGTCCAACTGTTAAAATATAGTGGTTTAGTTAAAAATAAACATGAATTATTTAACTTGAGTCAACAAAAAAGTTTACCATTTAGCTTTTCACCGAATAAGTTGATAAACATTGTGAAATTCAATGGACCAGGTGATTCATCTAACATTTCTTTTAATTCTTTATCAGTTGGTGTCCGACCTATGTAAATTAGAAATACATTCATTTTAATTTGAACATTTCAAAGTTAATTCTTACCCAACGATGCGTACATATCTTTTAAATCTTCAATGTCAATAAATCCGTCACGATTTTGATCGATCAACGTAAAGGCCTAACCATTCATATGGATATTTATTTTATTATTAAATTATATAGATTAGAGGTATACCTCTTTAAATTCTTGAATTTGATTTTGAGGGAACATTCCAAAAACATTTGAAGTAGCTCTTTGAGCTCGTTTACCACCACCACCGCCTCCACTACTTGCTGTCTCTTTTTTATCTTCTGCTGGAGCTCCTGCATCTTCTTCTTTGTTTTCTTTTTTCTCCTTCTTCTCTTTCTTTTCTTTCTTTTCCTTTTTCTAAAATGATATTCAATGAGTTATAGAAGAAGAAATATGGGTTTATATGTTGAATAGAGGTAGTTAATATGTTAAAACTAATAACTTTGATATGATTAATGATGATATAGCTCACTTATAATTAACATGTGATTTTAACACTTAACTGATTCGGTTAGAAAAAGGATGGAGATATCTTTCATAGGAATCTGTATTTTCCAAGTAACTATATAGATTATATTAGACTTGTATCAGTCTACGTCAAATGACTCTTTTCTCGCATAATTTATCTGAAATATATTTGAATAAGAGACTGATTTCTTGGTATGGATGGGAATGATAAGAGGTAACTTGAATATTGGTTGATGTAATTAAACTAATTTCATAGATTGTTACTTAGGAGGAATTCACCTTCGTTGTAATGCATCAACTTTCTAGGATCCAAAGTAAGTTATTTCATTGAAACTCATCCACTTATAATTTGTTATATAAATTAAAGAGCTATAAATTTCTTCAGAATATTTATTCAGATACGTAAGTGTTACCGTTGAGTTTATCTGATGTCAAAAAAGTATTTTGATTAAGTAGTCAATGGCGCCAAAAAATGAATAAATAGATTGTAATTCTATTTGATGACCATTGATATAATGATTAGTTTTAAGTAGTTATATGTACGTGAATTATTGTTTGAAGGAACACCATATAAAGCATTTAGTTTCGATAGGCGGTAATTAAATAAGATATTAAATATCACCATCATGAAAACTAGAACAACACACAACGAGATCGTTATCAGGCTTTACTGTAATATTCAAGAATATTTATATGGATATATGAAACTATTTAACCAATAAGGGCAATTTGAGTCAATTCTCAATATGAAGTAGATTGCATAGCTACATATAATAGGTAGAAAAAAATACCAGCTATTAGTAGAAACGTAGATGTGCTAGTTGAGATAAGAGAAGTAAAAGGATTAAATTTCCATTTAGTAGTTCAACACATGATAATCAATAAAATTTACTAAAATTGTGTAGTAAGAAGTGTATAACTACTCAGATAGGTAAGAATATAAACGGAAGAAGGTGAATATCGACAAATAAATGATTTTGATGGAGTTTTGTTCTCTGAGCTGGATGGTTTGGTCGTGGAGCTTTCATCGTTCCTCTAAACGACATCATCAGCACAAACTTCAGATAGAAATAAATGAACAGAATTAAACTTGGAAGCAATTTATGATTGACTGACAATATTCGTAGTGATTTTTAGACACAATAGTATTATCCAAAAGTTCTATACAGTACATTTTTGATGTATTCATCTATTGGTTAGACATAATTTTAGTGAAATAAGCAGGACTACTAATAGGTATTGTTTAAAAACTCCTATCTACTTAATGGATGGTTTCAACTATGATCAATTAATTAACATACTGCAAAGCGACAGTATATATTCTAAACAAAAATTTCATGAAAGTCCGTAAATACGGATACTTCAGCGCTTAATAAGTCAATAATCTATCTGTCCATTTAAACATTTGTTATGTATTCACATATGATATGTAATAACAGTAATTGTAACGATAAAAATACGAATAATCCTCTGATAAACTAATAATTTCGTTTAAGGTAATAACAGAAGTTCATTTATTGGGGTTTTAAATAAGGGATTTTAGAATTTCTATTCTCTTGTATTGGTAAATATTATATAGGAAATCTCAAGTGAATAATTAAGAAAACAATTCAGTAGTTAAAATTGTTTGTTTACTATTGTTGAGTTTCCTAATTATCAAAAAATTGAAAACAATAATTTAATGTAAAAGCTATATTCTAAAATCTGGTGAGACCAATTATGTTACTAAAGTCGAGATATTAGCCTACTTCACCACCTCATGTTCTTTTGAAAGGATATTGAATTTAGTTTCGAATACTAGTTATCACATTCGTGTTCACTTTCAAACGTATTTCCAGGGGTTACCACTTGTTTTAATGTTCCCACCTCTAGTCTAATCAGTTAAGTTTGTTCAATATTGTGGGATCTTGTCATCTCGTTGACACATATGAATCAAGCTTAATGATTTTTCCAGTCATCTCATGAATAATTTATAGCAGATGAATGTTAAATCAAATTTTATTCTATTTTTTCAGTTATATAGGGTGTTATGTTCGACTCACTGTATTGCAATTTCCTATCTACCCTGTAAACAAAGATTTTAATAACAATTAGTACCGGATAAATGGCAGCACCTAGTCGACTGATATCAGTTCACTTTCTTAAAAGCTGTTAAAAGTATAAGCCTTTAAAGATTAAATCTCTATAATGTCTTTAATAATATTTGAATGCTTGTATTCTGAGTTGTTGTCTAAGACATAATACAAGGATTTCTGCTGGAATAGTACGGATAATTGGCGGTTTAAGTGGCTTATGACATTTAACAGGAATAATAACTAATCGCTATTTTTGTGAAAGGAAAGAAACCACTAGAAGGAAAACAAATCTCAGAAAAACCAAGAGTACCTGAAAAGATTTATTCAACTCAGTAAAATTACCTCTTTATCTATTATTCAATACATTCTTAACAAATAACTCAAGTAAAATCAAAGTATTCTTACAAAAAGTAAATTTAACTACAAAGTAGATACTTAGAGGGATGTGGCTGTAGATTATCAAAAGATATGAAGAAACTATATATAATGATGTAAGATATATCATCTCTTAATTAATTGGTTTTATAACTGTACAACTGGAACAGTAGGATCGCTTTCACAGTAGTACAGTAGGTAACACTGTTTAGTTTTCGTAGACAAAATCTTTCTCAATAAACATATTTGTTGTTAGACAGAACTCTCTATATTTCTTCCATACAGTCATGACAGAGTTTGGTATTTAATAAAAGTATTAGGTTCAATATAGTTACTCAAACACAATAACCCATCGTTGTTATATTATTAGATTTAATATGTAAAAAAACTTCCACTCCTTATCACAACTAGCAATAATTCAGTTAGATGTACTTACCTTTTCTTTACACTATTCTGACCATTAACCATATTTAATATTTAACACTCAACTTTACTCGCTTGGTAATCAATATACTTTTTTGCAATAGAATAAATGTCAAAAGGGGTTTTGTGGAGATTTTAGAAACTTCACTGGTTGAAATCATGAGTCGATTGAACCTAGACCACTATTGGAAACCTGGAAGCACTGGATGGCCGTTTCGTCCTAGTATGGGACTCCTCAGCAGTGCGTGTCCACCGTCCCGCACCCCGAGAGATTCGAACCGAGGACCTACCAGTCTCGCGCCAGTGCTTCCAGGTCTTCCACGGTGGTCTAGCTTCAACTGACTCATGATTTCAACCAGTGAAATAGAATAAATGGTAAAAAAATAATAGTCATGATATATTAATCATTATCAAAATCTAACTTACTTCTTCTCCCATGTTAACTTAACACAGAATCACTAGTGCAAAACAAAATGAAGCTTCTAAAATTGATGGAATTTTCATTCGATAAATATATATATACATGGAATTACCGGAACGTGGGCGTTCCATTAAAATATATCAATGAAAGATTTGTATTATATTATTGAAAAAAAGTCAGTAATATTTCATTTCTTAACTGTGTAAATTTCCTATTCATTTTCATATATAGTCCAATCAAATTTTCTGGTGATATTTGTGCACAGGCATAACAATAAACATTCATAACTGTGTAAACTAGTAATGTAAAACTTTACTGAATAATAATAGTTTTCTACATTGTATAAACATGATATTGAATAGAAAATATTGTAACCTTTCTTTCACCTAATCTTACAAAAATCAATAATGTGTAGAGAAAACATCAAATAATGAAACTACCTTTCTTAATATTCGATTACTATATTGGTTTTTTGGCTGTAGATTTCAAATGATTGGTTTAAATCCAAAGGAAAAATTACATTACACCATGGCAAATATTTACTGTTAGAAAAGAACTATGTACAAAAAAAGAAAGATTATGATGATTAGGAGTATTTGAATTATAGTATGAACTAAGAATCCCAGAAATAACGTAATCGGATCAAGAAGTACTAGATAAACAAAAACGAATGTACTGTATTTGGAATTCGAAATCAAGCATTCAACAAGTACAAACGAATAATTAGTTCATTCAAACACCACAAAGATTCAAATGGAAATCATGATCATTACAAGATATAAGTTGATTCGTTTTAGTTGTGATGGCTTATTGAAAGATGAGTGATTTTAAAAATTGCATGTTCCTGAGAGACTAAGTAGGAATCACCTTTAATTATAAAAAAAGTATTTTATCTGGTTAATAGACGAATGAACGTGTTGCTCCGGATGTTAGAATAATATCAGTATAGCAGAAAATCACTTAAGCTGTTCAAAATGATCTGGGATTATTGAAAAAAGCAATCAAGTAGAACCTTATCTACTACATTCAGTAATTACTTTATCTTGCTTTTGCTGAAATGGTCTGTGTGAAAATTAATATTATTATTATCACTATTAATATCAAATAGTATATTAATGAAGTGAAATATTTTACTGCTAATCTTTTGGGTATAGTTAATCTAGTTTCCATTGAACTAAATGCAAAAATTGCAGTAGAATAATATGAATCTATTAATCTCAGCAGGAGAATATATATGTAGATTTGTAAGGAGTAATAAATGTAGAACAGTGATGGGCATTGTTCATACGATTGACTATTCCTAAGAAAACTCTATGAATATTCTAGAAAACAAAACTAATAAAAGACAGAAGTCTAAAAAATGGGCTTTATAATTAAATTCCCTGGAGTATTAACTGGAGATAATCTACAAAAAAGCATGAACCTAACTTTCGCTTTAGCAAACAACATTCAGCAAAACTCACCAAGAATCCTGAGCAAATTGACTGACATAGTGGGATCTGAAACTCCATCACTCATTTTCACGGTTTCTAACCATGGTAATGAGCAGTTTGTTCTGTGACTGACTTCGTGTATGATTTAAATACTGACAAGCTGGATAAAGCCAAGATAAATCTCTAAGAAAACTGGAAAAATATTAATAACTTAGCACGTAATATACGGTGTTAAGTAACTAAGTAGTGAAAATCGAGTTCATTAGTGGGAGTAAGGTAACAGTAATGATGAAATATTATGAAAATAACAAACATAACTGGGTGAATATTAGCATCAGACTGCATTGCACCCTAGTAATGATATTTTTACAAATATAGATTTTAATTTGATTGAATTGGATAACATGTATATCATAGACTAAATAAATACTAATTCTATTCATTGAATTTTTTTAAAAACTCTTGTGTGATATTCTGTTTGAGCATTTAAATTCTCAAGGCTGTACACTGTACAGGTGACTCTCAGGTTGTTCTATTATTTCAAAGGTGAAACTCAAGCTATGTGTGCACTTTTAAAATACTTATACTAGTTAGTAAATACAATTCTTTTTATTCAATATTGTATCTCTCTATAAATCAAGGTTTCTCTATACATTAAGCTTTCCTGTTGAATGCTTACAGATTTTCAACATACAATAGTCTATTGTGAAATTGAGAGCCTTACACTAATCATTAAGTTGAAATATGAATAATCAAACATAGCATTAGGGATCAAATTCTCTTGGTTACTGTTTCATGAGTGATTGGCTCAATTTAATTACTCCCACAGACTGTTGCTTTTAGTTTAAAATCTTTGTTGTAATTAGCCCTGACAGCAAACTGGAGTAGAATGGGGTCAATATTCTAATAGTTGTATAATTTGTTCGATGCTCAAATAAGGTTTGTTGATAAACGTCAATAAGAGTGAAAGGTATGGTAAACATGCTTGAACAACGGCTTAGTTCAAAGTTGTTTAGAATATATTTACTTTTAATGATTTTAATGATGACTATTTTCCTGAAAAGACTCAAACTGAATCATCACCTAAAATGTTAAAACAATCGAATATTAATCGGTATAATTCTTACTTAGGTTAATGTTAAAGAAACTAAAGTAGAAAATCTATTTTTAAAGCAATTAGTCCCTTTGATAAATTTCGATAGTGTAATAAGAAGACCAAGATTATCGGAACTATGTGATATATTAGAGTAATACATTTCTAACATCCCACTGTGTTTTCCAATTTAAATGTGTTTGTGGTCACACATACATAGGGAAGAGTAATCGTGATCTCCAAATTAGGGTGTATGAACATGTACCTAAATGGCTGCGGAAACAAATAGAATCGAACGACCCAATAAGAGTAGAGGATAAACATCCATCATTCTCTATTACCAAACATATAATCGAAACAGGCCATTAGATTGATAATAACACGGCTTTTGTGGTTGTGTACAAAAGTGGAAAAGGATGTGTGCTAAGGTTTATTGAAGCCTTAGCCATAGGAAAATTCAAACCCCCTTTGTGCATTCAAAAACAGTTTGTTCTCACCTTAAACCTACCCTGGTAATAGTGACTTATTATCCAGAGTAATTAGGTTTCAAATTGTCTTCACATTATTTCTTTGTTATCCTTGTTTTCTCTTACACTCCATTTCTAGTCTACTTGACAATTCATTTTTATATATAAATGTTCTTAACAAGTATATGTGTGATCAGATTGTTCGAAATGTATTGCACCAACATATCACATAGTTCTGATAATCTTCATCTTCTTACTACACTATCGAAATCTATTTTTATCCATTATAATTTCAAAGGTAACAATGCTTTAGCAACAGCCAACATAAATCCGAACTCCATTAACTAAAACATATTCTGACGCAAACCTGTTTTATACAAACCAATATGTTCTCTGAAGAGAATAAGTTTCGATAAGTAACCTTTTCTTGTTAACTCCCGCTAAGTGTTTAAATATATTTATATTTGGCAAAACAGTTATATTAGTAGAAAATAAGGAATAATAGATACTAAATTCCATGAACAGTTCTTTAAAAGATCTTAGCTCAAGCCGAACAAAATCTTTTAAACGTTTTATTTCAAGACATCTATGCGACAGAAGACATCAGGCAAGTACTCTGACCAATTTCATACTGACTAATAGATAATCAAACTCTAGCTTAAGAGAAAGCAGTTGTAATTCTCCCCTTACCCCGATTGCCTTAGCTCTGTGATCTTAAGCTAGTGACCATTTTAATGCCCTATATTCTTCTTGTGCATATGATATCGTGTTGTATCATATTACTGGATCTTTGGATAATTGTTTTATCATGATGATATATAATTACATTGATTACAAACTAACTTCATTAGTATACGTCAATCCTGACTTTAAAATATTACAGATTATAAGGAGCTGATTAAAATCAAGCAAAATAACATTAGTTCATAATAAGTATGTTTTTTGTAATATTCTGATGAGTAGAGAAATTGTATTTCTGGAGTTTCGTGACTTAATATAAACCACTTCTTCAGAGTAAATTATAATAACCAGAATAAAATTAACACAAGTTTAAATAATAAAAAGGAAACAATTCAGGGACAAAGTGAAGGAAGCGAAGAGAATAGAGTGAAGCGAAACGACGCGTATTGGAGAAGGCATGTGAGCCAATTCCATTTAATCAAGCGTTAATCAATATTTATAGCCAGATGAAAATATGTCACAGACATGTGATGAATAGGATAAGAAGCGTACACATACACTCATATAAAAACAGTCAAGGTTGATAAGTGAATAATTAACAAGGTTAAAACGTGACTCAAGAAGAATGTCCAGACGCTAGAATAAGTTATATGGGTTTAGCATAGTAACCGACACTACACCAGGTAGCAGCGGGTATAATCTTGCAACTCTTTATATTCAATTACAGAGATTCTTATAAACATATTAGATATAACAGTTAGCAAGTTGACAAAACGTAGTATTCAACCAATTCACTATAAATTAATATTCGTATCAAATGATGAGGTATCACATTGATAAAAATCTATGGTATATGATAAGTAAAACATTAATGGATTAAATTCAGCTAAAAAGTAGTTTCGAACGACATTAATTAGGTTAGATTAAGTTGATAGATAGAAAATATTTTGAAGATTTAGGAGGTAATTTTCCTACAAAAACTTTACATATATCCCTTTGAAGTCACAATTTACATGAGGTGAATGATTGGTAACATTCACACTAACACATACTTCACGACCTTGACAGCTGAAGTATAGGCCAATAACGAAAGGCTAAAAAATCAGGTATCAATCGGTATTTAGTCAATTAGCGTGTTTCGCTACATTCATAAGTTATTTTTACTATGGAAACTGTCAGTTGTTTAGAAAAATACTGAATAGCTGGTTATTTGATGATTAGGTTTAGGTACAATTGAATGACCTGTTAGTATCAAATTTACAAAATACCCTTGAAAATACATGCTAGAGATGTTTATTATGTTATTTCACAAGATTCTTGGTTTTAGAATAACTAGTCCTAGT